GAGTGAAATGAGTAGAACCAGGAGAACATTGTACACAGTAACAATAACATTGTGCAATGATTGATTGATAGACTTAGCTATTCTCAGCAAAGCAAGGATCTAAGAAATCTCCAAAGGTCTCATGATAGAAAATGCTATCCATATTCAAAGAAAGAATTGTGGAGTTTGAACGCAGATAGTATTTGCTATTTTTTTCCTTCTGTTTTATTTTGTTTCATCTTTCTTTTGGTTCCTCCTATTGGTTCTAATTCTTCCTTACAACATCACTAATGTGAAAAAATGTTTAATAGGAATGTATATGTATAGCCTATATCAGATTGCATGCCGTTTTGGGGAGGAAGGTAGAAAGGGAAGGGGAGAAAAATTTAAAACTCAAAAGCTTGTGGAATTGATTATTGATAAATCAAAATAAATTAATAAAAATGTTTTTTTAAAGTGGGGTTGAGGAGGAGGAGGGCAACAGGTAGAGGGAATATGAATTTAAAAAAAATACAATAATATAAGCAATTCTGAAGAACTCAGGATGAAAAATGCTATCCACCTCCAAAGAGAGAACTAATGAGCTCTAACCAGAAATTGAAGTATAATTTTCTCACTTTATTTGTCTTGCTTTTTGGTGTCATAACTAATATGGAAATGTATTTTGCATGATTTCACATGGATAATTGACATCATGATCCTTGCCTTCTCAGTGGGATGTGGGAGGTTCTGGAGGGCAGAGGAGAATTTGGGACTCAATTTTTTTTAAATGTTATAAATAAGTAATTGTTTTAAATGTAAAAATCATTCTTAGTCAAAAGCCATACAAAAGTAGGAGAACTTGGCCCTCAGGCTGCAGGATCCCTGGATTAGATCATTTGTAAGGTCCCTTTACGATCTAAATTTCTGATCCTTTTACCATTTTGATTTTGTAAACTCTTCATTGCATTCAATCTCAGGATCCTACATCAAAATTCTTTGAATTTAACATAAAGGAAAACTGTTCTTTTTTTCTACCATAGTTGTCACAGAATATCATTCTTGAGAGGATAAAATAAGATGGCACCTGTAATAGCACTAAATGGCAATCACATTGTATTCAGAAAGAAATCTATACTCCCACTCTTCTCTATCTAGTACTTCTCTATCTAGTACTTCTTCTTCCTCCACAGTCAAAACTAGGCTTTCTTCAAAGTGCAGCATTTTTCTCCCAAAGCCTATACAATCCCAGAAGCCCACTCCTATGGCCACTAATCCTACTCCTCTGTATATTCAAAGGTACAGAAGGAAGATTTAGTCTACTTGCAAACCAATTCCTAGACCATGTTCATTTAACATTCTTTCCTCTAAAGTACATCTCTCTTGCCTATAATCACCCTCTCACCCAAACTCCACAAAGAATTACACCTTCCTTGATGATTGAATACTTGGATCACAATTTTACTCTCCACCCTTTCCCCCTGTCATGATGATTTCAACATCCACACTAATGACCAACATAACACCTTGGCCCCAAATTCCTCAATTTCCTGAATTCTGATTAATTTCATCTCTATCCCACTTTGATTTTCTGCCCACACAGCCATGCCTTGAATTTTACGGTCACTTGGAACTGCTCCAAATATAAGATCTCAAATTTGAAGCTCTCCATCTTTAAAAGCAACTTTCTTACCATTCAAGTCTCTCACTCCTCATTACTTACTATACGAGCTCTTCACCTTCATCATGACCTCTGACTTCTTGACTAACTACGAGTCACCCTCATTGTCCACTGTTTTCATTCTAGTTTCTAGGTTGCCCATTACAGCTGGTGAGTCAAGAAAGAATGCTAAGTTGGTCCATGACAAATTCATGTTATTAAAAAAATCATCAGTAGGAAATATATCCCATCCAAACCTTGTAATGCCATCATAGCTAGCAGAATATAAAATATCTCATGTCAATTCAGTACTTTCTGGTATCAGTTACAGAAGTTGCTGAGAAAGGAGAAATGGCTGTATATTCAAGCATTTGAACATGTCCAAGTAGCTTACCTCATTGGTAAATTCAGGGTTATAGCACTGCATTAGATAATTCCTTTAACAGAGGAGAATTTTCCATTAACACACACACACATACATACACACACACTTGCGCGTGCACACACACACACACACACACACACACATATACACACACTCCAATAGAGCAAAAATTTTTTTAAGGGAAGAAATTGGGGTTTTTTTTTTCCTTTGCATGCCCAGCACTTGGTGCAAGACCTAGTACACAGCAGGCATTTAATAAATGCTTGCTAAATGAAAGAGGAAATTATTCTTTTCTTTTAACGAGGCAATGGGTAAGAAGTGTCAAGTGTCTGAGGTTAGATTTGAACTCAGGTCCCCCAGACTCCAGGTCCAGTGCTTTCTCCACTTCACCACCTGGCTGCCCTGGAAGAGGAAATTATTGAGGAAAAATGTCAAAATAATTTCTTCCTTGGTGGGTTTTCTGGGTTTAGAGGAGTAGAGGAAATTTGTTCTTAAATTAATTGCTTTGGGAGCAGCTAGGTGGTACAGTGGATAAAGCACCAGCCTTAGAGTCAGAAGGACCTAAGTTCAAATCCAGCTGCAGATGCTTGCTATCTGTGTAACCCTGGGCAAGTCGCTTAATCACTATTGTCTCCAAAAAAAAAATTATTTGCTCTTTTTAAGCCAATAGTTCAAAAAAATTTTAAGTTTTTTTCAATTTACTTTGAACTTTAGGGTTGAATAGAACTTATTATATGTTATAAGATTCTTAAATTTCTAACACATTTTATGTCATAAGACCTATTATGAAATGTATTTCTTTTATCTCATTTTATTTATCAATACACAAATTTTATATGTTTATATCACATTATGCTTGAATATAATAAACTTTATTTCTTTAAAAATATTCTAAAATTCAGACTGTTAATTAATTCAGATTGGGCTTTACACCACAGCTGCCCCTGACCACTGCCCTTCTCCTTTTCATATTATCTAAGTCTTAAATCAATTAGATTTCATCACAAAATAAGTTAAACAAAGTAGGTACCACAACAAAATTATTTCCCACTGGCTAAGAATCAAAGAAATATAGAAGTTTTGAGTTGGACAGAACTTTGAACATCATGTAGTCCAACTGTCTACCCCACGCAGGAATTCACTCTACTACGTCCCTGGTAGTGAGCCAGAGAGGCTTTATTTGAGCACTTCTAGAAATGGAGAGCTCACTCTGTCACAAGACAACCTAATCCATTTTGGATTTTTAGAATTTTTAGAAAGTTCTCCCCTATGCTAAGTTTTCCCCATATAATTTCCAATTATTAATCTTAATTCTACCCTCTTCCCCCACAGAGATAAATCCAATTCCTTTTCCACATGACAGCCTTTAAAATAGCCAAAAGCAGATATCGTTTCCTCTATCTGTCTTCTCTTCTCTAGGCTAAACAAATCCAACAACTTCCTTCTATTGTTCTTTGAATGATATGGTTTCCACACTCTTCACCACTCTGGTAACACCCCTTTGATAAACAGTAGTTTGTCAATATCTCTTAAAACGAAGCATACAAGGGGCAGCTAGGTGGCACAGTGGATAGAACACTGACTCTGGAGTCAGGAGGACCTGAGTTCAAATCCAGACTCAGACACATAGCACTTACTATTTGTGTGACCCTGGGCAAATCACTTAAACCCACTGCCTAGCCAAAAAAGAAAAAAAAATGCGGCACACAGAATGAAGATATGGTCCAACTATTGAACATCTTTATATTTTCACTTTGCTCGTTCTTGATGCTATACTTCTATTAAGGCAACATAAGACTACATTCACCTTTTGGTTTTTTGTAGCCACATCATATCATTAGTCTGTGTTGTTGTTTGTCCTTTGTTTTCAAAGAAGACCAATGACATTACAGGTGATGTCTTGATTTGTGAGTGATTTGGATTAAAGTGAGACAAAGTTGCACAAAGTCATCAGTCTCACTCTCTCTTCCTGAGTCATCAAAGTCCAGTGGCACAACAAAAGTCAGGATGACTGGCGATGGCCCAGGATGTAGTAGATGACCTTATTGTCTTTGATGCCTGACCAAGCTCTAAGCCACTTTCGTGGCTGTTGGAACAAATTGTTCTCATCTGTACATTTGGCCAGGAAAAGTCTTCACATACTTGGTATAGACATTCCCTTAATTCACCAACAGGTTTGAGGCCTATCAGTTACCCTCAACCTGGTTTTGCCCATCTGCTGAGAAGGTTTACCAGATGCAGCCACTGCACATGCTACAGCTTCTTGGAGATATGGCAAGGGTTGGATAAATCAGGTGAACGTTAAAGGTGGATAAGCAATCTTGAAAAGGGCTCAGCAAGCCCTCACACCTGAGGTGTTAGTCCTCCTGAATACCTCATATACTCCATTACATTCATTAGCATGTATTGAATTTCCCAGTCAACTAAATAATGTAGTTGTCTTTAACATGAATGGCTACTGAAATTGATCTCTCCCCATCCTAGTTTATGCCATTTGTTTTTTGAAAGATAATTTGTTATACTTTGCATATGTAAGCAGTAAACATTAACCTCTACTGGACTGTCAGGTTTTAAATACACTTCTTTTTCAGCATTCCTATTTCATTCTGCATGTATTCTTTATACAACTAAAATTCGACAATTTTTAAAGACCTCAATTAATATTACTAGTATAATGAAATCAGTAAATTCTTAAAGTCAAAATAAGGCTTGAGTCCCTCCTATTCTATTAGAAAGGAAAATGGAGGTGAATCAGACTTTAAAAGGGATTACAAAGGCCATCTGTTCCAATGCTACAGTTACAGCTGACCCTCAGAAAGTGTTCAACATCATCTGCTTTAGCGCATGCTTAGATTAGATGCTCACTAAACAAGTTCACCTTGATCTTTCACGTAAAGCCCCAAGTATCTAGGGAACATAATTTAACACAGATCTATGCCAAGGACACTTCCATTTAGGTAAGGCAGAATAAAACCCGACTGTATGAACTGTCACCATAATCAGAAGTACCAGAAACATAAGTTTACAAGGTCTATTGGCATACAGCTATGGAGAACAGAGCCTACTCCGAGCAGGAGCAAACTCACTGCTCAGTCATTAACAGTAGCTTCCCAACAACACACAGGGATCTCCCCACCCTGACTTTGTCTGGCAAAATCCGGGTAATGGTCACTTTCTTCCTTTTCCTGGTCTCTACAGCCTTCAATGCCTCCTTTCTAATGAAGCTGCAGAGGCAGACCCAGAAGAAAGAAGTAAAGAAGTTCACTCGGATGAAGGTGCTTCTTAAGCATCTGACGCTAGCCAACCTGCTGGAAACCGTGATTGTTATGCCATTAGATGGGATATGGAATGTGACTGTGCAGTGGTATGCTGGAGAGTTCTTATGCAAAGCTCTCAGCTACCTAAAGCTTTTCTCCATGTACGCTCCTGCCTTCATGATGGTAGTGATCAGCCTGGATAGATTCTTGGCTATCACCAGACCCTTGGCTGTGAAGAGCAACACAAAGGTTGGAAAATCTATGCTTGGTGTAGCCTGGTTTCTCAGTATTGTCTTTGCTGGGCCACAGGTAAATATCTTTTCTTTTTTTTTTTTTTGTGAGGCAATGGGATTAAGTGACTTGCCCAGGGTCACACAGGTAGTGTCAAGTGTCTGAGGCTGGATTTGAACTCAGGTCCTCCTGACTTCAAGGCCAGAGCTCTATCCACTGCACCACCTAGCTGCCCCTGTAAATATCTTTTCTTGTTGGAGTAATGGGACCTATTAGGATTCACATCCCAGATCTCTTACCTAACATTTAGGAAAGACCTTTTGAACCCGTAAGGATAGCCTCAAACTTAATACCCCAGTCACTGAAGTAAAATTAATTAATTAATTGACCAATCAACTAATTGATAATAATAACTAACATTTATGTAGCACCTTAAAGTTTGCAAACTGCTTTTACATATGCTGTCTCATTTGATCCTTACAATAACCCTGTAAGGTCGGTCCTATTGTTATCCTTATTTTACAGATGAGGAAACTGAGGCTAAAAGAGGTTAAATGACTCGCCCAGGATCACACAGTTAGTGTTTGAGGCAAGACGTTGATATTTGGATAAATATGTTGATACATATGTGATTCAGAGAGTGAGAGAGAAAGATGTTAAAAAACAAACAAAAAAGATTTAATAATATAATTCATTACATGGAATACCTTAAGCAATATACTTGTTTACTTGGGGGTTGAAGGGAAAGGAGTTAGAGTTTTCAGCTAGCCAGGATTAACTTAAAAAGGAAAAACAAAAAAGCGAGCTTGTGAAATTTTTAATTTTTACCAGATGCTGAGTTTGGGCTTTGTTGGCCCTAGGCAAAGGTTCTACAGTAAGAAGGATATATGGCTTAAGTAGGTGAAACTATTGTTTTCACTTGCTACAGAGAACCAAGGTTAAATTCTGAGAATCTGACCAATTAGTTGACCTAAAGAATGTGATTTTAGCACAGGACTTTCAGTAGAGGCAATCACAGCCAAATGGTCTGGTTTCTTCTGGAAAGTAGAAAAGGCTCTTGCAAACAGTAAATATCCCTAACCACAGCTGTCTACTCCCTTATGTACTCTAATGAACCTAGGGTGTGGACCAAGGATGAGCTAACCAGGATATTCTCTATATATACTACCACTCCCATCAGGGACTAATCTGAGAATCTTGAACTTCCCTAGCTGTGAAAAAAATTTTCCTTAAGAGGGAGGCAGTCTAAGCTTTAAAAAGCTCAGTGAAGCAGAAATCAGGTTTTCCTTAACATTTCTTCAACTTAACTTCTTAGGCAAATCTAATTACTACGTCTCTAAATTTACCCTAAGAGAGTAAGGACAAGACAGTTCAAGGGTCAACTGTAAGTATTAATGAAATAACAAAGAATAAAATTATTTTATTTCCTTGAAAAAGTTAAATATAAACCCAGATATCATCATTAGTCTCTCTACAATTGAATATGCAGGAAAAGGTCAAGTGAAATTGTCCCCTTGAAATAGGGTATGAAGGTATTTCATTTAACGGAAAAGTTGAAAGTCTTTCTTTAAAGCCAATTCATGAAAATTTCCAAGTCTTTACTTCTATAAAAGTGCCACTGTGACTTGGTAATTGGTTGGTCTTGATGCAGAAAAAGAAAAAATGAAATACGTGTTGGATTCCAGCTAAATGGTATCCTTCTTGCTCTAAGTCTACAATCTTATATGCCCAACAGTCTGCTAAGTACTAAGCATGTATAAATGAAAGGTAAGATACGATCCCTGTTCTCAAGTTTACAATTCAGCTGTGCTGGAAGGACTAATATATGTGGAATAATTAGAGGACAACTGAGTATGAAGCTTCATGCTGCTGACTTTTAGTGCAATAGAAGTCCAGAGTAGACACAGAATAGGAGAGAATAATCAGGGGAGGCTTCAAGGAAGAGATGGGATTAAAAAGAGTTTTGAAGATCTGGAGGAAGAAGAAAAAGACACGAGCATTCCAGATACAAAAAAAGGAACATAGTGCTCTTCAGAGAAAAGTTGAAGAGGCTCCTATGGCTAGCATAAAGGATTCATTTGAGGTAATGGTAGAAAATAATAAATAAATAAAAGTGGGATAAAGTGGGACCAAATTACAGAAATTTTGAAAGAGGAGGAAAGGAGTTTAGAATTAACGTGACAGGCAATAGACAGCCATCGTAAATTCTTGTGCAGGGGGATAATTTTATGAAAGTGATGCTTTAGAAAAATTAGATTAGCAGCAATATAGTAAGTAAGTAAGAATTTCTTAAGTACCCACTAAGTATAAAGCAAGAGTAGGTAGGTGGTACAATGGATAGTGCACAGGGCCTGGAGTCAGGAAGACTCATCTTCCTGAATTCAAATCTGCCCTCAGACACTTACTAGCTGTGTGACCCTGGGTAAGACACCTAACCCTGTTTACCTCAGTTTCCTCATCTGTAAAATGAGTTGGAGAAGGAAATGGCAAACCACTCTAGTATCTCTGCCAAGAAAACCCCAAATGGAATCACAAAGATTCAGACACAACAGAAACAAATAAACAACAAATGTACAAAGCACTGCACTAGGTACTAGGGATACAAGGACAAAGATGAAGAATAATCCTTTTCTTCAAGAAGCTTAAATTCTACTGAGACACAGAATTACATGGAGAGAGAAGAAACCAGGGAGACTGTCTAGGGAACTGTTTAGGAATTTAATAAGATCATGCATGAGGCCTCTAACTAGTGACAGTTAAAATAGAAATTATGGGGGGGAAAAAATTCAAAAAAAAGGAATAATATGATGTGTTGACAGATTGGCTATAGAAGTAAAACATAAGGAAACTGAAAATGACTCCGAAGTTAGTAACATAGGAAACTGGGGAAACGGTGACATCCCTGAATGAAATGGAGAAGTTGAACAGGGAAACTAATTCTGGGGGTTAAGGAAGAATAGATGATGAGTTTGTTTGAAAACACACTGAACTTGCTGTGACTGCTAAACTTGAGGAGTAGATATCCTGTAGGCAGTTGGAAGTATAAAATTAATGTACAATTGAGATACCAAACCCGAACAAAAGTATATAATTGATATATGGTATGTGTTATTAAGATTTGCCTTGTATCCATAGAAGGACCAGCTTCTATTTTCTCTGTATGTGCATGTATGTATATGTGTGTATATATACATAGATTAACAGGAACATAGTAGGTCAATCAGGTTTGTACAGAGAAAATGGGAAATGGTCCTTTTGTAGATAAAAGGTAAAATTTAATAGAGTACATAATACATTAGCATTTCTATACTTCAGAGAATCCAAGATCTTATCAGGATAGTTTCTCCATTTATCAGTACAGATAGCTATCCATATCCTCTCATTTTGGGATTCTTTCAGAAGAGATAACAGTGATTACCTGCACACCTACAGAGATTATCTATACAAAGATCTGGAGGCTTTCCCCTAGTTCTTTTGATATTTAATGTATACTTATGCAGCATTTGAGCTATCAATCTGTTCTTCCTCAACTTTGCTATATGACTACCCCATCTCTAGTTTTTCTTTGTTTTTTATGGCATGCTATCCAAATTATCATAGATTCATTTTAGTTTTAGTCTGAGGTCAGTGTGAAGGGAAAAGCTCAGGGTTGGATACTGGGTACAAAGAAAATATCATCATCCTATTCTTCTCTAAAGATCTTTAAGTGAATCACAAAATCTTCATATGTTGAAAAGATAACCCACATATTCATAAATCTAAATGGCAAAAAGGAAATAAGTAAATTGATTTTTCAATTTAGTAACATGTAAGAACAAAGGATTCTACCAATCTTTCCCAGGGAATTTTATGTGAATTTTTAAAGGACTATAATTCTTGATCACATTAGAAAAAAATGTTTTGATTAAAAGATGTCTCCCTTTACTAAAAAAGATTTCAGTTATGTAACTCAATTTAGGAGGCAGAAGACAAAGAAAGCTTATTTGTAAACCATTACATATAACCAATATGCCTAGTGTCTTACCACCTTCCATAGCTATGCCATCTGAGAATGACACACTCTTATATGGTTTATTTGTGACTGAAATAACTACTTAAACTCTGTTTCCTCTAACATTGGTATTTATTATCTATTACTTATATTGTGTTTAGAGCAGCACTGGATTAAGAATCAGAGGCCTACATTTAGTTTTCATCTTGATTTCACTGAACTATTGTTGTTCAGTCATTTTCAGTTGTGTCTGACTCTTTGTGACCCCATTTGCCATTTTCTTGGCAGAGATACTGGAGTGGTTTGCCATTTCCTTCTCCAACTCATTTTACAGATGAGAAACTGAGGCAAACAGGGTTAGGTGTCTTTCCCAGGGTCACACAGCTAGTAAGCGTCTGAGGTCAGATTTCAACTCAGGAAGAGTCACCTTCCTGACTCCAGGGAAAGTATTGTGCCACTTAGCAGCCCTTTCACTACACCAGAATTGCAGAAATACATAATTGACACCTGCCTCCCACTTTTTCTACCTTTCTACACCCAACAACTCCAAAAACCTGATCTCTATATTGGTGGTGACTTTGAATGGGTTTGATAGTTTCAGAAGTCTTACAGTTGTTAGCTTTAGGATACTGAGAAAAACAAAGTTTAGAAAAGTTGAGTATAAGAATGACAAGCTGAGATAGAAAAAACAGGCAATATAATAAAGGTTGCATATCTCAAAATTCATAAAATCTTTATTATCAATGACAAGAAAGTTTGGCCAACCAAGTACTACCCAAATTGCATCCATCCCATTTACTCTGAAAGCTATACTTACTAAGATATGACAAGATAACAATTTAGTTCTTGGGAATATAATTCCCAAGAATGATGTTTTTAAAAAATAGCCAATGGACCTTAGCTGTGGATCTGATTTAAAACAATCTGTTGTTAGGCTGTAACTATACAATGTTAGGTTGTAGGTACACCTGAATTAGGTATACTATACAATGTTAGGCTGTAGGTACACCTGAATTAGGTGTATCTAATTCATAATTAATTCATATCTAATTCATAATTAGGTCTTTTTAATTTAGTCATTTTAAAA